CCCCGTCACCGGTCCTTTCCAATAGTTTGCAGGGAAGAAAAATGAATCCAAAGACCTTTGGTGGGGTTGTGGCAAGATCGGATTTCACCGTGCTTTACTCTTACCTTTCCTCCTTTTCTGCTGTGGGCACGTACATGAAATATGCAAAAGTAGAAATAATATTTGTAAACATCAAAACCCTGTTTGGCTCTTCTGTGTATTTGAAGTGGGGATTTCTTTCTTTTCCTGTTTTAGTATTTGATACAAAGCAGATATGCTGAAACAGAATGCAAAGTTCACAGAAACTAAAATGAGGACAATTGTGCTAAGGGTTCCCTAGTATATCATATATAATATAAATAACATAATTACTTTTCGTGCAAAATGACGCAAAAATTGCCAGGAGGCATAACACATCACTGAATGTGTTTTTTTCTCAAAACTATATTCCAAACATTTCCAAATATTTATCAATATTATAGTCTGAAAATATTTCTAAACACGAATATGGTATAAAAACATTGATTTCCACTCGTTTTTTTGTTGTTGTTAAAGTGGTCATTTCTTATTCTTGATTTCAAAATACCTGCACTGTTAATGTCGGTTGTGGCCACTTTAGGGCCTGGATGCTCTAGGAAGACCACCTATAATGTGTTCATTTCCCTATCCCATTTTATTATGGTATAATGAGTATTTTACATAAAACATTTTGGGCATTCTTAAGTCTTTTTTAAAAATCAAATACTCTGTGACAAATAAGGCTGATTTTTTGTTTTGTCTATACAATTTCACATAAATGAAATAACACATAATACTGAGAATTTAATACAGTCCTATGCAATGCTGACAAAAATGCTTGAAAGTAGAAAAAAGAAATTTGTTAGAACTGCCTATAATATTGCTTGTGATCCTAATTGTGTGTGTGTGTGTGTAAGGAATCTTGAGTTTTTCAGCTATTACTCTGTTAGCTCATTCTATGTGTGTGTGTGTGTGTGTGTGTGTGTGTGTGTGTGTGTGTGTTTAGAATACTCACCTATGCTGTCTTCTCTTTCTGTCTTCCCATAGCTTATTTGTGCACTGTGAATTTCAGTAAATATAAATTATTGCTTAAAAGAGTAAAGAATAGTTACTTTATGTCTCATTGTTCTTTCCTTACAGTATGCCTCAAAATCTTTTTTACAAATCCCATTGCAACTATTTCCCCTCAATTCCATAATGAAAGTGAATGGCAAGTGCCATTCAATTTAGAGGAACTCAAGCACAGAGAATATAAAGATTTTGTTCAAGGCTTCCCTCCACCCTATTTTTGGATTTGGAAGGAGAACTAGGCTGAAGGCACCATCAGTACACATCTCTCACTCTATATGAGGCTACTTGAAGCAGGTGGCTCTGGGAGTTCGTTTTGGGAATAGCAGACCTACATGGAAGCATGTGTCCCTGAGAGACTGACAGGCTATGGTGGACCCCAGAAGGAATAAAACGACCTGTCCCTGAGTGGCAAACAAGGAAGAATTTCTTCTCATTTTCTCTCCTGCATTACTTTTTCTGTGTTTGGCAGCTGAACCAGAAAGCAGCCTGCAGCATTTTGCCTTGGGGGACTTCCTACGGCTTTGCCACATTCCCTGGAGAAACTCAGACTCCTGGATTTGATGGAGGGATTACAGAGAGCCACAAACATCATTCTCCCTCTAATCCATCTGGGGCTGATGCTGTATTGATAACAACCTTTTTGTTGTTTGGTGGTTTCCAACCATTCCAGTGAGAACAAATAATAGGAATTTGGTAGTGGAGGTGGGGATGAAGTAGGGTCAGTTGGAATAGGCTTTTGGCTTGAAGGATTGGTTTCTGTTCCAAAATCATGGAACCAACATTTCCCACTCATTTGTTTCAGAGCAATTCCTTCTCTTTTTTATTATCTTGCATTTGGATTGGGGACATTGGCATGGTTATTCACCAAGAAATCGTACATTGTTCCGGGACAAGACAGTGCTCAGTGGCTTGAATTTTGTAGCTTCAGTTTGCTTGGCTCTCCCTGCTTAAAGCTACTACATTAGGTAATAAGGAATCCCATTTGCATTAGATAATAAGAATCAGGGACAAGACAGACACAATGCTGATTAAACAAGGACTCATATCCCGCTTTGAGAGCTCTCTGATAACCAGAGCCACAATCACATCAGTAGGTCAAGCAAAAATCTGAAGATAAAATCAATGTCACTTTTCTGTGTACCAGAATCATATCCAATAAACCCTGTTATCAAGTACCTCATCGTTGTCAATGAATTCAGTTATGCTGTGGGTCAAAATCATGCCCCTACCTACATGATGATGTTTATGGCACCCCTCACTTTGACACAGACTTGGACAGAACAATATGCTAACAATTATAGCTGTCCAGCAACTGAATGGGCTGCTTTGTAAGGTAAGGTGAGTTGAGACATTGAGAATGTCCGAGTGTAATCTGGGTGCAGTGAAGGCTAAATCTGCATAAATGGGTGGTTGGGAAAATTGACCTACTCTCCAAGCTCCTGTTCAGGGCCAGTTAGATCAGGATTCTTTCAGGAACATTTATTTATTAATTGATTGACATGTTAAATAATTTTAATCTGATTATTTTTTAAAATGATTATATATTCATGTGGTTCAGACTTTTAAAGATTCAATAAAATATTTCATGAAAATTCTCCTTCCTACCCTTGTCAACTAGTCACCCAGTTCTAAACCAGTGTAAGGAATCAATATTGCTAGTGTCTTGTATATAGGGGAACTTTAAAAAAATCCCATGGGGTGACTGGTTAGCTTAGTTGGTTAGAGCATGGTGCTGATAACACCAACGTTCCTGGTTTGATCCCCACATGGGCCATTGTGAGCTGCGCCCTCCCTAAAACAGTCAACTATGCCATTGTAACATGAAAGCAATGTGTAACCAGTGATCATGGCTGTTCCCCAATACAATTTTAAAAAAGATTAAAATAAAATACCAAGGCCTACTTAATGAGACTCTTTGGAGAGAGGGGTCTTGTAATCTGTTTTTAAAAACTTTCAGATAATTCAGTTGAGTTGGGCACCACAGGCTTAACTGGCTTCTAGATGCCCTCAAAACACTGAGATTCTATGGAAAGCTATAATGTAATAGTATTCATTCCATACATTCCCATAATTTATGCAAACTGTTTTCAAAACCAGTGTACTTTTTCATTCTCCTTACAACCCTGTGACATCAGTATTATTTTCCTGTTATCTCCCTATTTTGCCAGAGTAAATGAGTCTCAGAGCTCAAGCGACTTGACCAAGGTAATTAGCTGGTAAGGAGCAGAGACAAGAAGCATCATTTAAGGCCACTTAGGGACCAACACACTTTCATTTTGAGGCCCTAACCCGCAAAATATCAAATAATAAAATACACCCATACTTCAATATAATTATTTGCTATGAACTTTTTGGAAGCATTTTGAATTTTGTTAGGAATGAATTATTCATTTTCCTTTTATGATTTAATCTTTATTGTATGCATAATTATGATTTAAGTTGCAGCTGGCATGTTGGCATAATGAACATTTTAATTCATGTAAACAGTTGTTAATGCTGAATTTACAGTTTGTTTCTTCATATTTTAGAACTACTAATTTTTTGGAAGGAGAAGGCAGAATTCAAATATCTTTTGAAGCCCTTGAAAAGCTTATACGTTTTAGATTCTGTAACTGAGGTGCCTTTTTAGGATAAATCTAAGCTTCTGTAATTCAGTGGATTAAAGAAGAGAGAAGTTTATTCCTCTCTCAGCTAACAGCCTGAAGCATGTTATTTCAGGGCAGCAGGCAGCTCTGCTTTATATTATTATTCAGACACCTGGGATTCTCTGTCTCGCAGGCCATTGCTGTTGTCTATGTGGCTCACAGGTTCCTTCAGGTTATGGTTCACAGGAAATGACAAGAAAGTGCAGGAGACTGTTTCTGATTAGTTGGCTCATTTATTCTATTATTTAGTTTTGTACACCTGAAACTAATTAAAAAATACAATAATAAAAAAAGGAATAAATTGGGGCCAGCCGAGTGGCGCGTTGGTTAAGAACTGGCTTGGGATGCCAGAGGACTCTGGTTTGGATCCCGCATATGAGGGCCAGTGACACTGCCCTCTGCAGCTAAGATGGTGAATGGCAGCTCGACCTGGGGCGGGGGTGCTGTGGGTTGGCGACAGCGTAGGCTGCAGTCCCCTGCTGCAGTCCCCTGCTGCAGTGGGCTGCCATAAGCTACCGTGTGTAGCCGGCAGCCAGCGTGAGTGGCCAGCAGCCACCGTGAGCAGCTGTCCAGAAGCCAGCGACTGATCTGCCTCACCCGGGAAGAGCGCAATGATGGTGCCAACTTGGGCCAGTGAAGCAATGTCCTCCACAACTAGACTGAAGAACAAAACGACAGCAACTTGGTCTGTTCCCCTTCCCCCGATTCCCCAGTGCTGTTCCTCTCCCCAATTTCCCAATAAAAATCTTTAAAAAAAAAGGAATAAATTTCTTTTGTTTATAAGCCACACACACACACACACACACACACACACACACACACACACAAAATGCAGGAGGCATGCCCATGGTCTTCAGGTTTACCTTCGAAGTGGCACACATCCCTTCTTTTTGGATTCCTTTGTCCAGAACTTTGTCGCACGTTCACAGCAAACTACAAGTAGAATGGGACATGAATCAACCCAAATGCAATGAAAGGAAAAGATAATGGATTGTGGTGAACAACCAGCAGTATCCACAACAATGCCTGACAGCCAGGAGACTGTTGCAGTAATCCAGGTAAGAGCTAATGATGGTAACTGTGGAAGTTATGAGAAGCGACTGGATTCTGGATGTGTTTAATTTTTTCGAGTGGATTGGATAAGGCTGTGAGAGAAAGAGGAGTCAAGGTTTTGGCCTGAGAAACTGGAAAAATGGATTTTCCATTTATAGAGACAAGGAAGACTGGGGATGGGGGAGGTTTATGGAGAAAAATAAAAAATTTGGTACTTGGTATACTGAGTTTGAGATGCCTATTAAACATCCAAGTGGAAACTACAAATAAGAGTTGGGTATATGAGCCTGGCATTCATGGGATCGCTCCAGGCTGGCGAACTGGGGAATTGTTAACAAAGAGATAATTTTTGAAACTATGAGACTGAATGAAATTAATCAGGGAGTCAATGTAGGCAAATAATTGGGCTAAGGATCAAGCTCTGTGGCATGTCAATGTTTAGAGTCTGGGTGTTGTGGAGAAATCAGGAAAGGAAATTGAGCAGAGCAGCCAGTAAGGCAGGAGGAGAACCAAGAGAGAGTGGTACACCGGAGGCCAAGTGAAGAAAGTGCTTTAGGAAGGAGAGAGTGATCAACTGGTGACTAATTACAGCGTTGAATGCTATGAATACATCAGGTTGGATAAAGACTGAGGACTGATGGTTGGACTTAATGTGGAAGTCATTAAAGACCTTGTCATGAACTGGTGGGTAAGTGAGTAGTAGGAGTAAAATATTTTTGGAGTGAAGCTGAAACATAGTGAGAAGAGAGAAATTTGAGGCAGTTCAAATGCATACAACTATTATAGAGATTTTTGTTGCAAAGAGGAGCAAGAAAATGAGGCTGTTAGACAGAGATCAGGATTTGTTTATAAAGATGGGGAAAAGCAGTCGATATGCTTGGATTCTGATGGAAAATCTTGCATTAGAGGGGGGAAAATTTGATGACGTAGAGGAGAGAAAGGAGAATTATCAGTATCGATGAGAAGGCAAGAAGAAATAGGGTACCGTGCACACATGGAGGTATTGGTCTAACTGGTAGCAGGGATGGTCTGTGTAAATAATGGGTGAAAGCAGAGCTGGGCTCAGACACAGTAGGTTGGATGTGGTGGAGATGGAGCTTGTTCTTTTCTGACTTTTTCAGTGAAGTAGAAAGTCAGGTCATCATCTTAGAGTGAGGATGGAGGAGAAGGCATTATGGGTTTGAGGTAAGAGGGGGAAATTTTGAAAGTCATCTAGAGAATGGGTACACGAAGTGGTTGGAGATTTGTGCAAGGTTTCTGGGCATCTCTGGGGGCCCAGTCAGCCCCACTAATGTATGTTTTTCACTAGGCATAGTCAGATTAGGTGCAGAGAAGGCAGAGAGTTGGATTTGGCCAAGGTTGGGCTTTTGCAAGGATGGTGTGATGGCGAGAGAGGGAGGGGCAAGAGAGTTACTTATGTGTACAAGGGAGTGATTTAATGAAATCTTAGCTGGGTCTGAAAGGAAATGAAGATCTGAGGAGGTGAAGGTCAGTGAAGAGGTGGTAGCATTAAAGAATTTTAGATTTTAGTGGGTTGATGAATTGTTGAAGTGATAGATTTGGACTGGGAAGATAAGTGTGGTTGGAGAGTGGGATGAAATAGAAATGATGGAAGGGTGAAATTAACGTCAGCCCCTAGAGTGCAATCAAGGGAGTGTGTGGCTGGAGCACAGGAAGTTAGGGCGCTGAAAGGCTAGGGCACTGGAAAGATCAGGGATATTGAAATTCCCAAGAATTAGGTGGGATCAGTGCTGGAGACAGGCATGGTGAGATAGGAGCTAAAGTCTTTAAAGAATGAGAGGGAAAGGCCGGCTGAGTGGTGTGTTGGTTAAGAGTTGGCTTGGGTTGCCAGCTCTGAGAAGCAGGGCCCTGGTTTGGATCCCACATGAGGGCCAGTGACGCTGCACCCTCTACAGCTAAGATGGTGAACAACAGCTCAACCTGGAGCTGGGCTGCCGTGAGTC